TAAGTGGTCCCAGATTTTTTTAATACTGCACACACCGAATGTTAAGACCCATTCTATGCTGACCAGGCATCTCAGGCCAATCGTGCCAAATTTGGAGGCAGGAAAAATAAAACGTAGATCTACGTTTGGAGCACTAGCAATAAGAACACAGATCTACGTTTGGACACTTAAGGGGGTAAGCTTGGGAGGTCAGTGTGGTACAATTTTTTCCAGTGTACTTGCACCACATTTAAGTGATGACCGGTGTGAACAATGAAATGTATGCAAAATTAAAATGAAAAGTTCCAATTATGATATTAGTCAGATGCCCATGACCTTCCCTCCAAATTAGTGTATCTCATGCTGCAGCCCAGTGTCTGCCTATGAACTTGGACATTATGATCACATATACAAGTGCTTCTTAACTTACAATAGGATTACATTCCGACAAACCCATCGAAAGTCGAAAATACCATAAGTCAAATATGATATGCTAAATAAATGTCACTGATTAAGTAAACAAACAAATAATTACTGCAACTAAGTACCAGTATATTGAAGTAAATAAATGAATACAGCCTCTCCTCACTTAGCGATGTACTTGTTAAGTAATGCCTTGGACTTATGATGGGCTCTCTGACCAGTATTCATACCTAAATAATGTACTATATTAGAGCTGATTTCCTCTATTCTGTTTACTTCAATATACAGTACACTACTGTATAAACACTTAAAAATATACCAGAAATGTTATAAATGGTGCAAAGGTGACATTAAAACAATATCAAAGATGACTGACACAAACTCATTACCATCACAGTGTGCTCCTCATTTAGCGACGAATTTGTTTAACTAGGTGGTCTCAGGAACAGAACTCCATCGTTTAGTGAGGAGAGGCTGTAAGTGGTTCTCCATTCTACATATCAAACCAAGTACAAGGGATTTAGCAGATCTAGAATTATCACCTGTACACTGGTGAGTGAGAGCACTGTATTAATATTGTTACCATTTGTAACTATTAATCAAGCGAATTTTTAGCTTACTGCAAAAATATGGTGCATTTTTAGTCTTTTAGGCACGAGTCTAACACAATATGAACATTTCATTTGGCAACTCTGGACACTGGGCATGATATGGGTGTCACAGGCCATAACAGTTACTGGAAAATGAAATATATTAGAAAGCACCAGAAAAAAAGGTAAAAAGAATACAAGTAATATGGAGCAAGTGGCAAGTGTAACTTTTACTGTCAGTGAGTCAACAACCTTTAATTTCATACTGTAATGAAAAAAAAATTTTTTGGTTACATTACGCAGAAAACAGGCTTTTTTCTTTGAGATTTTTTTTTAATTGTGACATTGACAGTACTTTTAATTTCAAGAGTTGCAACAGTAAAAGGGTTAAATTCATTGTTTTGATTTCTATTTTAAGTTATGTTCAGCACCTTATATGCAACCCTTTTATTTCTATATTAACAAAGAGTAAAACCATGCATGCCAGAGTTAAACATGAAAAATGTTAAATGCTGAGATGACCATTTATTATAGTATTGTACATGTGACCACAATTTGATCTCCGGCTCATATAAGAAGTTAGATTTAGCTACTCTATACCTCTGAAATGTAATTTGATGCTTCTACTGCTGCTACACATTCTAAAAATATTTTTGATGAATACACAAGTGGGAATGATCTGGGGAAGCAAAACTGCATAGCATGGGACAGTAAGCCTATTGCAATGCTCTCCTGGTTTTATGCAGGGCAATTTAGTGATACACAAGTAGTAACAGTTGATCAAGAGTAGAGTCTGTTAGCATGGGCCAGTAGGCCTACTGCCACATTCCTTTCTTACACAAGAAAGCACAAGTTTGGCACTGAAGTAGTCAAAGAGTGGGTATGAGCGGGATGTGTAAGATCTACCTAGTACTACCCAGTAGGTCTACTACAGTGCTCCTCCATTCTAATAAACTGAAATACTTCGATTTTTGCATGGAGCAAGTCATGCTGCTTATTCAAAATCAGTACAGTGACTCCAACACACCACCAGCTCAATTGGATATTTTTTTTTATTTCACTGTAGTCTTTTCCTATACTGTATATTTGTTAGGATAAACAAGAGAAAACATTAGATTCGAAGATCATTTTTTTTCTTCTTGTACAGAACATAATACCAACACCCAATACAGTACTTTAATTTTCTAAAGTTGCTAAAATATTCCTTATATAATAAGGCAGGCTAAAACATATACAGTCAGGTCACAATTACAGGTCGGCCATCACTAGTCCGGCAATCCAGTTCCATCAGTAATCCGGCACTAATTTCGGTTAGCATAATTTCAAATTTCATCATTATACTGACTCAGAAATTGTGCAGATGCTTCTAAATCCACAGCAGCAAGCCAGTGGAGGAGAAAGCAGTGATGAAAATAAGGAAGATGTAGCACTCTCTCTATTGATAGGTTAATTAACCCTTTCAGGGTCCGTCCCGTAGATCTACGGCTTTACGTTCAGGGTCCAAACTGTAGATCTAATTCATGAGCTCAGCTCACTCTGATAAACTGTGAGTGGTACATTTGGGCCTAGATATGAGAGAATACATCTATGTGGCATGTGTGCACCACATAAAACAGATCCTGCAGCACACTGTGTATAATGAGAGAAAAAAAACTGAAATCATGATTTTTCGATTAAAACAGCGACTTTGCAGTGTTTTTTCGTATGTTTTTTATAGTTGTATTTGCGATTTCTTGGTCTCAGTTGATAGAATGGAAGACATATTACAGAAATAGAGATGATTTTGATTGATTTTAGCACTGGAAATGGCTTGAAACTGAGTTCAAAGTAGCAGAAATGTTAAATTTTTGCCGATATTCAAGAGTAAACAAACGACCTCACACGTCTAATACACACCAGCTGGTGGGTCTAATATGCATTCACAAATATGGTGATGATATTTATACAATTATTACAGTATTGCATAACAGTAAATCTTCTATTTTTTGGTGTGAATAAAAATTCATTATGTGAATAAAATATCAAAATGAAATTTATTTGTAAAGCTTCAAAACATAACTAATGAACAGAGGAAATGTTAGTTTAGTTCCAGGAATACCTGCATTGTTTATTCTGGACCCTATTTTGAAATTGGAATATTTTGAACTTTGTGTTAAATTGGCCAAATTAACAATTTCCGATCACTTTAATTTGTAGTTGAAACAGTTGACCTGGTGATTTCTTGTGCTCAATCGATAGAATAGAAGTAATACTAGTGAAATAGCTAAGAATTTGGTTGACTGGAATAATGCAATTGGCCTAAAATGGGAGTCAAAGTCGGCAAAATCGCCGATTCGTAAATATCGCTGACACATCAAAATTCGCGAGAGCATAATTTCGTCAATTTTCCATCAAATTTCGTACTTTTTGTTTTATTACCTTCACAAAAAGATTCTCTACCATTTCATAAGAAAAAATAACAAATTTTTTTTTTTTAAATTCTTGGACACTGGGGCACCACTTCAGATTTGGGCCTTGGACCCTGAAGGGGTTAAGTGTATTCTAACCTAACCACTCTGTAATCCGGCAAATTCACTAATCTGGCACATTACAAGTCCCAATGATGCCGGATTAGTGATGGCCAACCTGTAGTGCAAATTTTGATTTAGCGTGAAATTAATTAATGCTAGTTTTTCCCTCAAACACTTCAAATTGTGCACAAAAATTACTTACAATTTGAATAGTGGAAATTCAAGTAATGCAATCACTTCACTGGATTCGTTATTTGCACAAAGAGACATAACTGTATATGAAAAAATAAGGAATTTTTTTGCATAAAGTCAGGGGTCAATTGGCACATGAAGTTGGGTTAGACTCGAGTATATATGGTACTTTACATTCTAGTGGTTATTCATTGCAGTCAAGACACAAAAGCAGAAACTGGAACTGTATTCAGACAAGGTTTTGCCTGCACAGTAGGGTTTTTTCAAGTATAATAAAGCAAATCTGGAAGCATAATAAAAAAGCAGGAGAGAGAAACATATAATCAAATGTTAACACAAAATATAGTACGTACTGTAAACTAAAATCCTCTATTCCACTTCTAAACATGTCCCAATAAACCAATATTCTTAATAAAGTGTTAGGTCTGTCACCAAAAATTAAATGTACAGTATAAAACTTGGGAACACTGAAAAAAAAAATAGGTGGAAAGTTATTATGTAAGGTTTGGCATTACGTAGTGAGACTAGAGATCCTAGAGGCACAAAGATAATACTACCTCAAACCTGCAGTCTAGCTACTGCTAGGCCACTGAGCATGTCAAGTCTGGCAACATAGAGAGCAATACATAGTTATTTCATACACAGATAATTTTAAGTATACATTTAAAACATCTCTAGGAGAATCATAAAAGGTTTATTTATATTTATAGTATTACAAAATAAACACTTAACTACAGTGCAGAGTATGATTTAAAAGTGAGTTAACACAGTACAAAATGTGGTAACAGAATAAATTAAATAAAACATCTACTTTTAATATAAAGCAATACTACATATCAAAATCCAAACAAAATTTAAGCAGCCAAACCAGGACCAAACACTGGCTACTTCCCCAACGTGTAATGCAGGCAGACTTTCTTCCATCATAATGTAAGACTTATTTATCTCTCACTCTCTAGCAGCTCACCATTAGTGTAGAATGCTTTTCCCAACAATTAATTACTCAACACTACTAATTTTCTACTGTTACAAGGTAAAATCAATCAGTTTGAATTTGATGAAGTAATCTTATATAATGTGTGCCACTACTGGAATTTTGATACATATATGACTGAATTAAACCATTACAGAAAAATCTGAAAGTTTTTTTTTTTATTAAAACATTGAATTTATATTGGATATAAAAAGGAAGCATGTAATTGTTACGAGTTAGGTCTGCATGGAGGGAATGCCAAACCAGGGTATGGCCCTGATGTTGCTAGCTGGTTGAGGACCTACTTGCAGCAGCAGGTCAGCACCTACTTACAGCAGCTGCAGCTGGTGCATCCTCACAAGGTTATTCATTTGCAACAGGCTGCGACGTGCATTCAAACTTGGGAGAGAAACAAAATGGGAAAAATAAACAGCAGTCAAGATGCAGGAAGAAAAGTTCTCACCTACAAAGGGAAGTACAGTGTATAAAGCTTTTAATGAAAAATATAGCTAAAAGACAATAACAAAAATAAGACAACATCTAGACTTAAGTTGATCTGGCAGTACTTTTGCCAGTAAACAGAGAGAGGCCCTACTTGGCACACTAACACAAGATACAATACAGGTGACCACTCACCTAGTACAGTATAGCATTCACTCTACCTAACCATTCCAAGAGAAAACTGCTCATGTTTATGGGTTCAGTATTTAATCTTGAGAGTGGCACTTATCTATCAACAGTTACTTTAATGTAGCAAGGGAATATAACAACATTCATTGGTAATAAAAGTGAAGCATACAAACACTGACATCAAAATGCCTCAAAAGTTGAGAAAACTTCATGGAATTAAACAAATTAGAAAAAAACTACAAGCACACACTAATACTGTTACAGAACTGCATGTTTATCTACCTACCTATCTATATTACTGTGTGTTACTTCTAGGCAGCATGGGGTCTCATGCACATGTTCAACATTTCTGCACAGCCTTCTATCACCAATATAGTCTTATTTTGTGTCAACATATGAATGTCCCTTCAACAACAACGTCTGAATTTTTTCTTTGCCTACTTTTTCTAAAACTGACAAATTTACAGCCTAAAAGTTGTTATCCCAATAAGCTCATTTTAAAACTGAGCCCTATCAAAGATATAAACTACTATCACCTTCCAGGATGCCATCCCCAACACTCAACTAACACCTCATTTACCACTGGGTGAACAAGGGCAAAAAGCATAGAAAAACCCATCCAGTGTCACCACTCATCTGAGACAAAGTGGATATTTCATTTGTGAGCCAAAGGCACTAACACTGAACTATACATACAAGACTATACCAGTTCATGAAAAACTTCTGCTTATTTTGCTTACAATCTTTACAGTACAGTGGTACCCCGAGTTTCGTACATCTCCCAACGCGAACAATTATGTAAGTGTATTATTGTAAGTGTTTTTGTAAGTACATATATTTTTGGGGGTCTGAAACTGACTAATCTAATTTACATTATTCCTTATGGGAACAAATTCGTTCGGCAACGGCACTCGAACAGCCTTCTGGAATGAATTATGGCCGAAACTCAGGGTACCACCGTATATGTGAATGCAATACAGCAGCTCCACAAAAAAAACCATACTAGTATGACAAGCAAAGTAAAGCAATTTCCACTGGTTTCAGTCGAGATAAATTCAGTTTGTCTTGCTATCCACAACTTGTTGAATCAGATACTTTGAGTATCTATGCACTGGTATATATATTTGTATATCTACTCTCATGTGTTGCTTTTATCTTAGTTATGACTGACAAAGTTCATGCTATTTGATCATGAGTACTCAGTCATGTGATTAAAGGTACCAAGTCGTGTGATCATAGGTACCAAGTCGTGTGATCATAGGTACCGAGTCGTGTGCTCATAGGTACCGAGTCGGTGCTCATAGGTACCGAGTCGTGTGCTCATAGGTACCGAGTCGTGTGACCATTGGTACCGAGTCGTGTGACCATTGGTACCGAGTCGTGTGACCATTGGTACCGAGTCGTGTGACCATTGGTACCGAGTCGAGTGACCATTGGTACAGTCGAGTGACCACTGGTACATAGTGTGATCATTGGTACCAAGTAGTGTGATCATTGGTACCAAGTCATGTGATCATGGGTATCAAGTCATGTGATCATGGGTATCAAGCCATGTGATCATGGGTACCAAGCCATGTGATCATGGGTACCAAGCCATGTGATCATGGGTACCAAGCCATGTGATCATGGGTACCAAGCCATGTGATCATGGGTACCAAGCCATGTGATCATGGGTACAAGCCATGTGATCATGGGTACCAAGTCGTGTGATCATGGGTACCAAGCCATGTGATCATGGGTACAAGCCATGTGATCATGGGTACCAAGCCATGTGATCATGGGTACCAAGCCATGTGATCATGGGTACCAAGCCATGTGATCATGGGTACAAGCCATGTGATCATGGGTACCAAGCCATGTGATCATGGGTACCAAGCCATGTGATCATGGGTATTAAGCTATGTGATCATGGGTATTAAGCTATGTGATCATGGGTATTAAGCTATGTGATCATGGGTATTAAGCTATGTGATCATGGGTACTAAATCACATGATTATTAGTACTCATCAAAAATTCAAAAGCAAAATTTATTCCAATAATACATTTTTACAGATACAGTGGAACCTCTGCTTACGAGTTTAATCTGTTCCGTGACCTTGCTCACATCTGGATTTGCTCGTTCGCCGTCAATTTTCTTAATTTAAATTAATTGAAATGCAATTAATTCGTTCCTGGCTCTCAGGCAGCAAGACAAGATACTTCATTATTTCGAAAATATCATCTATACAGCTTATTTATCTATCAGAATTCACCTAATATGACATAATAAACAATATAAATAACATAGAAACCTGATATATACTTTAGACTGAATAAAAAATGTCATTATGTGACAAATGGAGGTGGCCACAACCGCTCCCGCACTGTGGTAATCACTGCCATCTAGTGAGGGACTTTTGAAGCTATTATTATAATTAAATACATACATTATTATTATATGTGTATTATTATTATATATATTATTATACTATTATTATTATATGTATTATTATTACACCAGTGGCCTGGTGGCTAAAGCTCTCGCTTCACACACAGAAGGCCCGGGTTCGATTCCTGTTGGTTGGAAACATTTCGACACGTTTCCTTACACCCGTTGTCCTGTTCACCTAGCAGCAAATAGGTACCAGGGTGTTAGTCAACTGGTGTGGGTTGCATCCTGGGGGACAAGATTGAGGACCCCAATGGAAATAAGCTCCACAGTCCTCGATGACACACTGACTTTCTTGAATTATCCTGGGTGGCTAACCCTCCAGGGTTAAAAATCCAAACAATCTTATCTTATCTCTTATCTTAATATAAATAATTTGTAATTTTTATTCACACAAAAAATAGAAGATTTACTGTTATGCAGACTACTGCATTATTGTAACAATTACATAAATAATGTCAACCCATTCACGACTGCATACTGAAATGGACAGTGACGTCATTTGTTCACTCTTGAACATCGCCAAAGAATCGAACATTTCTGCTACTTTCAGCTCAATTTCAAGGTACTTTCGTCATGAAACCATTCAAAAGCATATCTATTTCTATAATATATCTTCCATTCTATCAAACGAGACCAAAAAAACGAGAATACAATCATAAAAACCATACGAAAATAGCTCTAAGGGGCAGCTAATGGCTGAGAAGTGAACTCTCATTTATGGTCCGATTTCTTTCATTTTTGGTGTACGTTAAGAAGCATCTTTCCATCATACAATGCCTAAGTTCCAATAAGATAGTCCAACAAACAACAGAGATCCAATTCCCTAGATCAAGAGCAAGAGCCCCTCACCAGTGTCAAGGAAGCTCCTTTGAGGCCCGTTCGCATCTGGAAATTTCGCTCACGTCTGGAAGCAAAATATCAACCGAGCGACTGCTCATATCTGGAAAAACTCGCACATGGATGCACTAATAAGTAGAGGTTCCACTGTATTATTTTACAACAGTTTTCATACATGGAAAATCCCCTAGTTATGTAATGTATTTTCTGCAATTACAAATTAAGCTTAAAATCACTTTATATCGATTAACTTAATTCTTTCACAGTTGATACCCCGAAATTGAAAGCCCCATCTGTGTCACCATTTCTGGACAAAAATACAAAGGTAATGTTATCTTCTAAACTGATAGAAAATTTTCCAAAGGTAATGACACCAATAATGCAAAATCCTATGTAATACTTATTGAATTATGTAGGCATGAAGTTGGGGCATTTACGCAACAGTGATTTCGCTCGTTTTGATGCCAATTTCTGGAATAGAGCTCAAGTAGACCCAACACTGGTTATTTTGGTACTACGGCTTTTGTACTATCCACTTATCACAAGAAAATGCACAAAAATGTACTTTATTAATCACTCAGAAGTCAGTAATTTGGCCAATTTTACACTATTTCCAAAAAAATTTCCATTGAAAAACAGAGTCCAAAGCAAACAGTAAGCATTCCCACCACAAAAACAACTTTTCCTCTGTTCATTAATCACATCCCCAGAACTCTTCAATATAGCATTTACCCATCATTTTTTAATCCATCCTCGCATACAAAAATCTGATTTCTTTGTATTTTTCAACTAATGAACCATAACCTAGAATGCTTGGTCATGGTTTAGGTTGTTCCAATAACTGAAACAAACCTAATAAAAGCAGGTTAAACAGACAGGGAGAAAAAAGGGAACCCCATCCTTCCCCCAAGAAATCATTCAAAAATTGACCATTTCTACCATTCTCAGACCTGTTCAAGACCAGTCTGAAACAAGTCAAAATTTTTACTAGTACGTCTTCTGGTCTATTACTAACACCAAGAAACATCCAATAAAACCACGAAAACCACCCTAGAACACACACTTAAGTTGCTATTTTAATCCACACAAAATTGGAGGTTAGCTATTCCCATTATGCACCGAGGGGGGCTGGTACAAATCAACAACAACAGATCTATGGCAATTTCCCAATGGGAAGCCAATGCCGGGTCACCTCATGGACAAGACCTGGGCCAGGATCACACCGGAAAACCACTCACAGCACATTATGCATAGATCTATGTTTGCGACACTGATCCCAACAACATAGACCAACAATGAAAGTGTTAAGGTAATTTATGCGAAGGCTAGGTTCAACATAAATTTGTCTGGGGGTAACATTATCAACACAATGAATTATTTAGAACAAAACAAAATTTAGTCTATAAGCTAATAAAAGTTGATAGTAAAGCAATACAGGAGTAACAGTGAGGTCTTTTTTATATTAGATCTTCATGAATTATATCCAATTCAGATGGTGTT